TTGGGTTTTTTGTTTTGCTTTTAATTTGTTTCTCAATACTGGTTGATGCAGACCAGAGAGAAGCAACGAACACAAGCCTGCTTCCTACTCATCCACGTCGCCGGGCGCTACCTGCAGCAGACGGTCCTGCTCCTTCTGCCACCTCTCCTGCCGCTTTCGCTCCTCCTCTTGGTCCCACACCCAGCGGCTTGGGGCACTGAGGGTTGGAACTGGAAGCTAACCAATTATCAAAGAAAAGGTACAAACACAGAACAATGTAATTTCATTAAGACATCTTGAACCACTTTCACATATACAAATTATTCATATCACACTTTGCTTAGACTGTACCACTGAAGATTTGGCTCTATATTTCAAAGTAAGTCCTTTCAACTTGGAAAGATTACATTTGATAAACACTTATGCACCTTAAAATAATGGTAAGCAATGTTACTAGGTGCTATTCAATCCCACCAAGCTCACTGTATTTATTCCAAACTACAAATGAATACTACTTACATCAGGAACCACAGAATCGGAGCTTCCTGTATTGCAGCACACGGGCAAGGGGGAAAAAATACAATATAAGTCTTTTCATGTCTACAAAATAACTTCTTTCAGAAAGTTGTATCACTAAGCTGTCTCTATGCCAGTATACTAAGTGTCATCAATGTTTTTTTAAAGTCAGTAAACCCTTTTTTCTCTTCAGTTCCATCTTTTACTTATCTTCCAAATTCAAAGTCAGTAAAAGAAGACAAACCATGGATTCCAGTGATACACCCTAGCTCTAGGTACTACAGCTAGTAGACCTGGATCAATGAATATTTCTGGAGAAGTTTCAGGTTATTTATTAATAAACTGGGCAGTATCTCATAGTATGGTCTAATAGAAAAAAGATTTTCAAATGTTACACAAACTACCAAATCCAATTTTCTACTTGCCATTGTTCAGTTACAATGTGACAGCTGTAAGTCACATTTTTCAGGTCTTTTTGCTAGTAAGCTACTTTTCATAAATATGCCACTGCCACAAATGTGTTCAAGAAATGTTTCCCTTTCCTCTCCTATTATTTGAAATACAAGTACTCAAACTTCATGTGTATTCTTATAGCATAGTTTAGAAGTCCTACATAAATATGTGTGTCTGTATATAGGACAATGATTATAAAAAAGTAAAATTTCAGAAAATACACAATCATACAATATTTTAAAATTTTTCTGAAACCTCAGCTGTCAAATAAATTATTCACTTACATATATTTTTAAAGAAAATTGCTTTGAGACTTAGGAAAATATCCTTCCCTAAAATAGCCAGTCGAAGAAAAGTAAGAGAAAAATGAACTTTTACTTTAGCCAATATGAGCTAGAAGTAATCATACTGTTTCGATTAACTAGCCATAGAAAAACATGAGTTTAATAAAACATATGAATCAAAAACACTAAGGATACTGACACAATAGACATGCATAGCTGGTAATCTATTTCTGTTTGTGGTCAAAAGAAACCTTTAAATCCACCAAAGGAAGAGTACTAGGTGCTCAACACAAAGTACAGAAACCCAGTTAATAGACATGCATAGCTGGTAATCTATTTCTGTTTGTGGTCAAAAGAGACCTTTAAATCCACCAAAGGAAGAGTACTAGGTGCTCAACACAAAGTACAGAAACCCAGTTAAGTATCAGGTTATAACACAAGTTTGATCTTAAAAGAAAAAATAACATTTTAGACTGCAACAGCACAATCGCCTCTTACTGTTGCATCTCAAATGTTGGATATTACTTTTAAGTTCCTCGTAGCAAAGCACAGAGCTTGAAGGGCATTCCTGAGACAGAGCAATGGACAGACGTGAAAGAGGAGGAAACGCCACATGCATCACACGTCGTGAGGCAGCCCTGCCCAACTACACCAACACAGAGCATCTCAAAACATACCTGTTCCCAGATGCAACCAAAACTTAATTACTTTGAATTTACTTCAAAGTCCACAGAGCAGTCATATCAACACTCCAAAGCCACCACCCCAATAGCAATAAATAACTCTGCTCTATAAAACTTTTGCACAATCAAAAACAGATCAGAATTTTGAAAATTTGGCCAACTGTATGTTGGTGTAATTCAGTATTATGCAATTGGTAGGAAGCAGTAAGACTTAAATGAAATTCCTCATTTCTTACTGTTACCCAGTGGAAAGAAG